GCTGCATCAGGTTCAATTTGTAAAAATGGAGAACTTCTCGGAAAAGGGTGTCTAAAGGAAACCTAAGTCCGCATTCAATAAAGGCAACAACAAGGAAGGGCATGAGGTTCACATCGGGCATAATGGAATCTTTCTCCCCTGCCAACCTAAGGTGGACGTCGGCAGGGATGGAAAACTCCCACCTAAAGTATTCTAATTTGTTGGGGTGTCTACCCTATGCTTCCACATACCCATGATGTCGGTTTAACTGGAGGAGTGGATTTCTGAAGGGAGTGTTCTGGAGGGTTTTAGGGATCTCGCTAAAACCTAAAAATACACAGAATCTGTGGAGAATCGTTTCAGTTTCCCTAAAAAAAATTTGGGTTCTACAAACAAATCCCAAACCTAGATCTATGGAAACGAAGATTGAAGGCACGAATCTGGAAAAGTCACAGAAAATAGGAAAATAAGAATTTGTTTCAGAATCAAGAACAGTGGTGAACTATCAAGTAAACTGTGACAAAATGTGCACAAGGGCGCGAGACCAAGGGCAGTGGCAAAAATCAACAAGTGTGTAAACAGTGTGAATTCAAGAAACAGATGGGGTAAAAACAAAATCATGACACAAACATGTAGTAGAAAGCAAGATACAAGTTATAATATCAATGATATGAGCAGAATTACAGAGGCAGAGCAATGGAGTTCAGTAAAACAAAAAAGAAACTGAAACAAGAAGTTAAATCGGGAAGAAACAGCTACTTACTGAAGAAAAGAAATCGGAGTTGAGTTTGCCAGGATCAAACGGTAGTCGGAAGCAAGGAAATACGACAGAAGCCTTGCTAGAGGAGAGAGTCGGGCTGGTCACAGAAAGCTTCGTGAAAGCAGCAATGGAGGACTTGGGAGAAAAAGCTAGAGAGAGAAAAAGCTTCAGAAATAATGATGTAAAATGAAAAGACGAAGAGAGAGAACACTGGTTTTGTCAAAAACGCGAAAAGACGGCAAAATGGAATTGATGAACCTAGGACGACGAATTTGTCAGATGGCGCACGCAGGCGCGAGGCAACTTACAGGCGCGTATCGAATACGATCCAATGAGCAGAAGACACGTGACAAAAACAGTTGATGTATTTTGCATAACAGCTCACACGCGTAATAAAATTCTTGGAGTTCTTGGTTTAATGAAGCAATGATATCGGCTGATAGGAAAATCTCGGCTAAAAAAACTCGAATAAGCTGGGTTAAAAATTTTGAAACCTTGATGAGACAAGATTGCAAGACCTGGTTGTGTGAAGCCGATGTAGTATGACCTCGGTAAATAGATGATACAGCAAGATAGCCGACATGCTATACGATATAACAATATAGGTTCTATCACCTTAGGATGCTAAGGTAATAGAACCTAAGGGGCAGTTGTGAGGATGTATTTTCTGAGTACCAACACATGACCAAGGTGACGCTGACGTGTTAGCCGAGGTGCCACGTTTTTTGGTCATGACGTCGAGGTAATCTCGGTTAGACCGGGGTTATTGGCGAAGATATCGAAGTCCGGGATAAGCGGATAAGGGACAAGAGTTCTAGAATGAGGAAGGACTTCGGTTTGGGTAAAGATAAGACTCTTAGAGGGTTTATCATAATCCTACTGGGAGTCCAAGATTAGCAGTAATCCTAAGTCCATTAGAGTTAGGCTTCTATTGGGACTAGGATTGTGTTGGCTATAAAAGGGAGGCACCCCCATGGGTCTAAGGTACGTTTTTTATGCTCTGTCTAGTGAGTTAAGCACTATTGGTTATCTTTGAGAGATATTTTATTGACTTGATCGTCGGAGTGCCCCCGGGTGGACGAACCACCTCGGAATTCTTATCTTTCTATGACAGGTTGTTCAGGCTTAATATATTCTGCCTATGCTCTCCAGCTGAATACTAGTTTGCCAGTGTGGTCGGAAATCAACACACACGCTTTTCTGTAGCACTACCTAGATAAAGTCATTTTTGTAAGTTTAATAAGTGATTTTGTTTTAATTATCAGTTTTATCATTTCGGAGATGCCTCCGTTTTACTTGACAAAGTGGGATCAAAATTAAAAAGAATATCTTCATGAATTACATAGGATTTAAGAGCAAATGACGAAAAATATATCAATATTGCAAAATGAAGACATCATATTCAAAATAAAAATAAAAAATCATCATCATTGATTAAATGCCTTTAGGAAGTATTATGAGGAAGAAAGTCTTATTAAATGTACAATTGATATAAAAAAATAAAAAGAAAAGATGAAAAAAGAGGGACCTTCCTAGATATTATGCAGAACAAGAAGATCACTCAAAATTTTACAAAATCCAAGTTTCACCATTCCAACAAACAATTGAGTGCATGGGTATTATTTGTTGGGTATTATAGCAATAGTCATAAGCAAATCAACAAACAAAGGAACACAAAGAATTACAATGTACTTGAGTCAGAAATCAGAGAAATAACATAGTAATAAAAAAATTACAGACCTTGCTTCTTATTAAATTGCCACAAACCCTTAATCAAAAAATTACAGACCTTGCTTCTTATTAAATTGCCACAAACCCTTAATCAGAAAGCCCTTGAAAACCTATAGACTTATTAGAGCTCCACTGCTATAGGGGAAAGGGTCATTAATTGGAAAAGAGATGAAATCAATGAAGTAACAGCAAATCAACTGAGCATGAGAAGAAACCTGGGTAAAACTATGTTTATGTTGAAAACAAATTGGATCTATAAACAGCAAAAATTGTGAAATTGAACCCAAAAAAGAAAAAAATAAAATAAAATAAAATATATATAGAAATGGTGGTGGTTAGGCAATAGCAAACAGAGGTTCAAATCATAATGAATCGTCATAAATTTACCTTTTACTCGGTCTTTTGCCTTCTCTCTCTCTCTCTTTCTCTTGATTTGATACACTCGTTTGATCGATCTCTGTTTTGGTTTTAGTTTTGGTTTGGTTTCACACTTTGTAGAGAGAGAAACTTGTTGGTGACTCAAACCAAGGGTTGTTCTTGTTTTTATTGAGGTTGGTGATTGGGGGTAGAGATTATCGGGGATCGATGCCTGATAATCGACAGATTCAGAGCAATTGAGGTGTTTCCAATTCTTCACCAAATAACCTTGAAGGAAATAATATATGCTTGAGTTTCAAGCAACAATGATCTATACACTATAATCATCTTCTAAAGTCGTTTTCTATGTTCAAATTTTATTATTATTTTAATCACAAAACACGGCTTTTCAAAAATCGTTTTCTAAAAAACGGCATTTCTAAAACCGTTTTACCCTATTATGGGAATAAAGATAAAAACACACCCTAAAGTGGGACTAAAATTTTAAAAATGGTATAGTCAGGGAAATCAGCCTCTCCTTCTCCTCTCTCTCTCTCTCTTATGTGCCTTGTGATGAACCCTAGCTTGTACTTTCCTTTTGATTAGAAGCAGTCAAAGAGTTAAATGTATTTTGAATTTTTTTTTTGAATTTTTGTTTTGGCATTAGGGCTTTTTTTTTTTAAAAAAAAATTTGGGAATTATATATTTTATTTAAAAATCAAATTGAAATATTTTATATAATCACACTTATTTAAAAAGTGTGATTAAAAAGTAGTAATGTATATATAATCACACTTTAATTAGAAGGTGTGATTAAAAAATATATAAATAATTACACTTAAATTAAAATGTGTGATTAAAAAATATATATATAATCACACTCATTTAAAAAGTGTGATTAAAAAGTAATAGTGTATATATAATCACACTTTAATTAGAAGGCGTGATTAAAAAAAAATATATATATATATATATATAATCACACTTAATTGAAAAGTGACATAAAAAATAAATATTATCACACTCAATCAAATTAAGTGTGATTAAAATATCAATCTAATTTTTTTTATCACACTTTTAATAAAAGTGAGATTTTTTTTTTGTTAACGTGTGATCTTTAACTATTTTTGTAATAGTGAATATTAACATTTTTTTTATAACGGACACTAATTATCAAAACTCATTTAAAAAATATTGAATGTTTAATAACTATTACTCGATAGTGTAAACACTAATTTTATTTGAAAAGTTGACTATTTTAATTGATTTTTTAATTTTTACCTTAATTAAAAAATTGTATTTGAAAAGATAATTAATTTTTATTTTTATTTTTATGATTGATTTGATGGTTAAATGTGTTATGAAAATCAACCAGTTAAATATATGGAAAAAAAACTATAATAGTTATTAAAATTTGAAATTTAAAAAGATAATTATATAGAAATATTTTTAAAGGGTTATTTGGAAATTAAAAAATGTTGACAATCTACACCGATTGATGGTTTAAGGTTTATTTATTTACTAATTTTTAAATTTTTAATGAAAAAATATAAAAATAATGTGATTTGAATAAATAAATAAGTATACTTGTTTAAACAATACGCATTCGATGCTATTTTAAGGGGCCTTTTGGGACGCAAAAAAAGATTAATTTTTAACTTTTTATCTATTTTGCATTATATCACTTTTTATATTTTTTGTTCATAAAAAAAAAGATTAAAAATGTCAAAAAATTAATTTTTTATTAACTTTTCAAAACACCATTACAAATCTTTATTTGTATTTTTTAGATTATTTTAGCCTACTTTTTATTTCTTCTTCACTTTAATTTTTTTTCTTTTCAAATTAATATTAACAAATTAAAAAAAAATTAAAATTACTTCACATAAAAGTAAAGAAGCTGCAAAATCTTTTGCCCGATTGATGAGTACTGTGAAACCCAATCTCTGTTCCAGCGTTCTCACGTGCGTCATTACGAATCATTAATTGGAGAAATATTATTATTAATAAAAAAAATTATAAATAAAAAACGACAACAAAAGAAATAATAAAGTGTCAGAAAAATACACAGCATGTACAGTTAGTTCAATTATTACCGGAAATAGCCGGTCGTCGTCCGGTTTCCCGCAACCCTATGCACCAGACGCCTCCCAATGAAGCAGATAGAGTGATAAGAGAGAAAATATAGAGAGCGAAAGTGAATGTTAAGAAAGATTTTGTGTGAAGTTGTGTATGTGAGAGTGAGAGTGTGAGTGAGAGTGAAGTGAACACATCCCAAGTTTTTTAAGCTCTCTCCTCACTCTGTGCTAATCTGCGCAGGTCTGCTATTTTTCTAGAGATTTTAATAAAATTATTATTAAATTTTTTACCAAATGAGATTTATATGAGTGTCAACTCTGTACGTAAATATTTTATGAAGAAATTGATAATTTATATTTTATGAAGAAATTGATAATTTTATTGATGTTATAGATTTTTATTTTGTTTTGTTTTATTTTGTTTTATTTTTTTTTTCGGCTTCAGAAGAAGATGTCATGATAGCCTTTCATTTCACCACCACCGCCACCACCACATCTCCTTCTTTCTCTGTTCTTCTCTCTCTTTACAAACTTTCTCTCTCTAAAGCTTTAGTCTTGTCTAGTCATGGCGGAAGAGGGTTTTGAACCTTACCATGTCCCACAACAAAGCAGAAGAGACAAGCTCAGAGTGCTAGCCCAAAACAACCTCCAAGGGTGCGCAGGTTTACTCCCTCTCTACGATCCCTCCCACATCACCTCTGCCGATTTGCTAACCTGCGCCACCCTCCACCACCAGCACCACCACCATAACAACTCACTTCTCAGCAGGTCAAGCAGCCCCAACCAAACCTCTTCAAATTGTGATGTGATTAAAGAAGAGGGTGTGAATTTGATGGGTTATGTATCATCTTCAACTTCACAACATCTATATATGGATCCACAGTCGTCTATCCATTTAAACCCTAGCTCGATCCAAGATATTAACAACAACCCATTTCTCTTCAGCCCTCAAAACTTCAGGGTCTTCGATCAATCCTTTAATGGAGGTGATGTTGTGGTGTATAAGCCAGAGGCTAATAATATTAATAACCCCAATGGACAAGGATTGTCTTTGTCTCTGTCTTCTCATCACACCCACCAAACCAGTCTTCCCTTGGAGCTGAATCTACAAAGATATGAGTCTTCAATTTTCAACAATAAGGTTGCTGGCAGTGGGTATGTTGTTCCGGCCACCGTTGGCGGCGGCGGTGGCGCTGGTGGTGGTGGTGGTTCAGCTTCAAATGATTTGTCGAGGAGTTCGGTTCCTCTCGGGCCTTTTACGGGTTATGCTTCGATTTTAAAGGGTTCGAGGTTCTTGAAGCCTGCACAGCAGTTGTTGGAGGAGCTTTGTGATGTGGGTAGAGGAATTTATGCAGAAAAGATCACGGCGGTGGAGTCGAGTCTGATGGATCCTCCAATGGAAAATTTGGGTGGATGTGGAATTGCGGATGAGTCGCCTAGCGGCGGGGACGGCGGCGAGCAGCGGAGAAAGAAGTCTAGGCTGATCTTGATGCTTGATGAGGTATGCTTCTCTAATTTACAACAATCATCATCATATGTGTGTTTTCTCATTTGGGTTTTAGATTAAATGGGTTTTATAGAACAATTTAACTATTTTTCATGTAATATTGGTTGTTTCTCTTGATTAAAAAAATACTAAATTTTCTTGTAGTTGGGTCTTATTTGATTGATTTTCTGTTTCATTTTGTGATCCTCTTTTAAGCTAGGTCTTTATGATTCTTTTAAGTGTTGAGCTAGTCATTGTCACTTTGATTACCTATGTGCAATAGCTTATTAGCTTCTTTTTAATTTATAGGTTACTATTTTGTATTATATGTGAACTATATGCTAGTATTTTAAGGGTAGATGGGGATAGAGATCACAAAATCATCTTCTTGTGTAAAAGGTAATAGGAGGGAATATATGCCCATAGATTGGTGCCATAAAATGTCTGACAACCTTAGAAAGAGTTTAAGTGGTGACATTACTGTCACTTAAATTTGGGGGTATAATGTGCATAAAGTGATTGAAGGAATCCATTTGAAAAGATTTATACTCCATAAAAGTGTTCATGGAAAGCATAGTGGTATTCCAAGCATAAAGAAGATGGGTTGACGAGGTGTCCAGCCTCTTTTACCCGTGGGACCGGTTGAGGGTGAATTGAGTTTTACCAATTTGGCAAACTACAATATTGAGTAAATGATGTCCCTCATTTTTGGTTTTGCGCTTTGTTGGAAATTTGATGATGATTTCAATTTGTTATAAATTGAGTTTACACAATTCAGGGAGAGATGCGGAGAACTTTGTATTTCATTTCACTACATGCCACTTCATTTGCTTTCTTATCACATGACTAGAATATACAGTAATTTATAGGTTTACAACTGTTCACGTGCACACATGAACACCTTGCAAGACCCTATGGGCATGTTTGATTGGAAGGATTAAAACATGGGATTGGGATTATTAGTCCGTGGGCCCAATTATCCTATGTTTGTTTTGATATTTTGGTTTAGGATTATTAATCCAATGGATAATTAATCCAACAAATTTGTAGGATTATTAATAATGGGGTAGGGATGGGATAGTTAATACCACATTAATTTGATAGGATTATTAATACCTCACTATTAGTGTTGTGAATCAAACATGGCCTATAGGTACATACATGAACCACTGCTTAGTTGCTTTCCTGCATGTTTCACCTCTTCATTATGCATTTTGAAATATTGATTGATATGCAACAATTTTCACCCAAAATTTTGTGAGAAACTCTTAGGTTGTGTTTGAATTAATGGGTTTGTGTTTAGAAGTATAAAGCTAACAGCTTCAATTCTGATACCAGCATGAATGGATTTCAGATTCATATGTTATTGGATTTGTAATAGCCAAATAAAGAGGTTATTTGAAATCAATGTCACCAAGAATTCTATTTGCACAAGTACTCTAGTCGAATATGTCTTTCGTTCTTCACTTTTGACCTTAACCCCAGCTTCTTGTACAAACCTTTAAATTTGAACAACAAATCCCTTGATTTTGAATCTTTTAATGCAAATGAAACCTTTAAAAAAATTGTGAATTGCTTTATATTTGAAGTCATCTCACAAGCTCTTAAAAGATGCTGGATCCAGCTAAACTTAGACGAAAACATTGCATAAATAAAGGGTAAATGCAACTTTAAGGCCATGATTACTTCATCCACAGCCCCATATACCCTCATATGTGGGGCCTAATACGTGAGTGGGTTGTTATGGATTGAGACAATTGTGGAAATAACACCTCTTTATACTTTAATATATACCAAATGAGGAAAGGGCAACTTTTGAAATTCTGCTGGCATTTTGATTTTCTCGTGAGTTTCTCATATATTGAAAGTGAGAAAAGGGAGGAGAGATTTTTTGAACTAGAAAAGGGAGGAGATGGAAATGAAGAAAAAGATAAAGAGTCAAAACAAATTTTGTTGGATTTCTTCTAATATTTGAGTTCTGACTGAGAGATCATGGTTGCGATCTATGCACAATAGTTTTAATGTATGGGGCTTATTACTTGTATTGTGTGGCACTTTTAGGTGCAGCTCTATGCATTGATGTTGTTTAGTTTTATTTGGGAAACGATATTCACACTACTCGTTTGTTTCTCACAAGGGAGTGTGAGTTATTATTTTAATTTTTTTAAGTGCATCTCTTGTTCACCTAAATGGTAGTTAGACAAAAAAAAAAAAAAAAGTTTTTCGTGTTGTTGACCGGTGCAACCTAAAAGGTTGTTAGATGATTCTATTTAAATTTTGAAAAAATATTAGAACGTTGAATAAATTGATTCTTTAAGTTGATGTATGCCATTATAATCAAATTAATTGAAATAAAAATTGATGATGAACTTACAACACACCATACCAGGGATATAAAAATTAGAGCATACATCTGGCATCTATGTCTTCATATTGGATAATGGGCTTTTTAGATTCATATTAGGACAATTACTATTTGATGTCATCATTAAAAGAAATACTACTACTCGGGCTTGCACTCGGTGGCGGAGTCAGGAAATTAAGTTAGAGGGAGTACTTTTTAATTATAATTTTTTATTTAAAAAAAATCATGATCAACATTAAGATAATAATAATTTTATGAGCTAAATTTAAGCATAAGAAATTAAAATTCATTATTAATAGGAACAAATCAAAATTCTATAATAATGTGTAATAGCTCAGTGCAGGATGGTGATGCAAGTTTGTAATTTTAGTACAAAAAATTATGGATCAAAATCCCTAATTTTAGAAAATAAAAACACATCATTTATAACACAAATTATTATAAAATTTATTTAATTTTTATTTGACAAAAAATATCAAAGAGATGATATTGCTTATAAATAATATGTTTTGAATGGAAATTATTAAATAGTAATCATATGGTGTTGTCTATGTGATGTTTAAAGCATGTAAAAGCACAAATGACACTAAGTAGTCTGTCAACTACCAAAAAATAACGAATTATTTATATTCAATTCATAAGATTTCCACTATACTATTAGTTTAGACAACTACATAAACAATAACACATAGTGCTCCCAAAGTATCAAATAATTACTTGTTGTAAACAATACAATAAACCCTTAGCCAAAGAACATGTTAAGTAAAAAAAAAGAATATATTTTGTATATGACTACAGAACAAAACAAAACAAAACAAAACAAAAAAAAAAAAAGTTCAAAATATGTGACCCCCTTTGGTTCCGCCCTGCTTGCACTTGCCTTCTATATTCTCATTTTGTTTTGCATGTTTTTGTCCTAATTTTTGGTTTTTTTGGGGTCAATTGGTTGTTTACAGATATGAGAAACATTACGTCAAATTGCAAGTTCAATAATACACTAAGCCGAACAACCATAGCTAGTCCAATAGTACACCAATCCTAACTAGATGAACAATACATACAACCTCTATAATGGAGGTGAAACAAAAATCACAAAGGATATCAAATTTCTTTCTATATGAGTTGAAAATGTTTTACCCTGTAGTCACCTTGGTTGTAAATGTTTTCTTAAAAAATGCTATATTTTATTGGAATTTCTATCAAAAGAAGCATTGGATTTGGATGCCTTCCATATGAAGTTTAATCTACAACTTTGTACGGGGAGGAAATAATTCTCCTCGTATAATCCTGTTGACCAAGTCCACGCTCCTCCGTAAGACGTCACTTTATCACCTGAAAACACAAACGTGAGCTAGCCGGCGGGTGTGTGCCAGAAACGTCTCCGATGCCTAAGTCAGTAAGCTCGACAAATGGACAAAGTTTATGTTCTCAGAAAGAATTGTGTTCAATTACCTCCTCCAAGGTGGTGCTTGTGAGCTTTTATAGGTTTCGAATGGCATAATCCTAGTAGGACTTGTATTTCTCCATGCAGAGTCCTCCTAGGATCCATATTCCTAAGGATAATGCTTATCCCTTTACACCCTCCCCCACTGCTTAAACCAAGTGGGATGGTTTTTACCACGGCCGAACTACTATATGACCGAAATAATATTGGCTATGCTGAGCCACAGAGTAGACCGAACTATCCTTAGTTCGGTTTTTTCCCATTTAACCATGGTATGCTAAGACCAAGCTTCTGAGTAGCAAGCTCCGACCGATCTAACCATAATACTCCGCGACCGGACTAACTTTGGTTATGAACGAACCGTAAGGCCGGACTAACTCCAAGTTACCTCCAGACCGGAGTAGCTTTACACCATCTTGGGCCGAAGTAATTACACCTCTCCTAACCGAAATAACTATACCTCTCTCGGGCCGGAGTAACTATGTTTCTTCTGGGACGGAATGTTATTACGGCCTTTTACTGAGTCCTTCACACTTTGGGCCATAAAGTCCATCTTACAGCTCGGTCCAATTTTCTCCAAAAATTACCCTCTCAATTGCCTCTTAATTCCATTTGCACAGCGTGATTGGGATTACCAATCTACCAACCGAGCTGAAGTTTATTAAGCCTTTCCAGCCGAGCTAAAAACCCTTTAGCTTCTCCAGCCGAGCTAATTTTACGTCGGGCTTCACTCTGTTTGGTCAAAACGTCTCTTCAATCACAGCGACTGTAACGCTTCCCTTGTACAAACCTTTAAATTTGAACAACAAATCCCTTGATTTTGAATCTTTTAATGCAAATGAAACCTTTAAAAAAATTGTGAATTGCTTTATATTTGAAGTCATCTCACAAGCTCTTAAAAGATGCTGGATCCAGCTAAACTTAGACGAAAACATTGCATAAATAAAGGGTAAATGCAACTTTAAGGCCATGATTACTTCATCCACAGCCCCATATACCCTCATATGTGGGGCCTAATACGTGAGTGGGTTGTTATGGATTGAGACAATTGTGGAAATAACACCTCTTTATACTTTAATATATACCAAATGAGGAAAGGGCAACTTTTGAAATTCTGCTGGCATTTTGATTTTCTCGTGAGTTTCTCATATATTGAAAGTGAGAAAAGGGAGGAGAGATTTTTTGAACTAGAAAAGGGAGGAGATGGAAATGAAGAAAAAGATAAAGAGTCAAAACAAATTTTGTTGGATTTCTTCTAATATTTGAGTTCTGACTGAGAGATCATGGTTGCGATCTATGCACAATAGTTTTAATGTATGGGGCTTATTACTTGTATTGTGTGGCACTTTTAGGTGCAGCTCTATGCATTGATGTTGTTTAGTTTTATTTGGGAAACGATATTCACACTACTCGTTTGTTTCTCACAAGGGAGTGTGAGTTATTATTTTAATTTTTTTAAGTGCATCTCTTGTTCACCTAAATGGTAGTTAGAAAAAAAAAAAAAAAAAGTTTTTCGTGTTGTTGACCGGTGCAACCTAAAAGGTTGTTAGATGATTCTATTTAAATTTTGAAAAAATATTAGAACGTTGAATAAATTGATTCTTTAAGTTGATGTATGCCATTATAATCAAATTAATTGAAATAAAAATTGATGATGAACTTACAACACACCATACCAGGGATATAAAAATTAGAGCATACATCTGGCATCTATGTCTTCATATTGGATAATGGGCTTTTTAGATTCATATTAGGACAATTACTATTTGATGTCATCATTAAAAGAAATACTACTACTTGGGCTTGCACTCGGTGGCGGAGTCAGGAAATTAAGTTAGAGGGAGTACTTTTTAATTATAATTTTTTATTTTAAAAAAATCATGATCAACATTAAGATAATAATAATTTTATGAGCTAAATTTAAGCATAAGAAATTAAAATTCATTATTAATAGGAACAAATCAAAATTCTATAATAATGTGTAATAGCTCAGTGCAGGATGGTGATGCAAGTTTGTAATTTTAGTACAAAAAATTATGGATCAAAATCCCTAATTTTAGAAAATAAAAACACATCATTTATAACACAAATTATTATAAAATTTATTTAATTTTTATTTGACAAAAAATATCAAAGAGATGATATTGCTTATAAATAATATGTTTTGAATGGAAATTATTAAATAGTAATCATATGGTGTTGTCTATGTGATGTTTAAAGCATGTAAAAGCACAAATGACACTAAGTAGTCTGTCAACTACCAAAAAATAACGAATTATTTATATTCAATTCATAAGATTTCCACTATACTATTAGTTTAGACAACTACATAAACAATAACACATAGTGCTCCCAAAGTATCAAATAATTACTTGTTGTAAACAATACAATAAACCCTTAGCCAAAGAACATGTTAAGTAAAAAAAAAGAATATATTTTGTATATGACTACAGAACAAAACAAAACAAAACAAAACAAAAAAAAAAATATGTGACCCCCTGGGCCTTTCTTTGGTTCCGCCCTGCTTGCACTTGCCTTCTATATTCTCATTTTGTTTTGCATGTTTTTGTCCTAATTTTTGGTTTTTTTGGGGTCAATTGGTTGTTTACAGATATGAGAAACATTACGTCAAATTGCAAGTTCAATAATACACTAAGCCGAACAACCATAGCTAGTCCAATAGTACACCAATCCTAACTAGATGAACAATACATACAACCTCTATAATGGAGGTGAAACAAAAATCACAAAGGATATCAAATTTCTTTCTATATGAGTTGAAAATGTTTTACCCTGTAGTCACCTTGGTTGTAAATGTTTTCTTAAAAAATGCTATATTTTATTGGAATTTCTATCAAAAGAAGCATTGGATTTGGATGCCTTCCATATGAAGTTCAATCTACAACTTTGTATTTTGAAAGACAAGTATTAAACTTGTCACTCATAGTCAATTAGTTTTGAGTAGAATGCTTTAACAAGTGATATTAGAGTCAAATTGTCATGGGTTTGTTGCAGGAGCATCATTGTGTGGGAGGGATTATTGGTTACACAATGTTGTTCTCTGTGATTGCTCTAAAACAATTATATGGGGCACTATGTTAAATGATGTTAAAGACATAAGTGAACTCTCCCCAACATCGATTGGTTTTAAGCGAGATGGTGGAATTCAGTTTGACCAATTGATTTAGGGGAGATGATGAAATTCGGTCTGATAAGTGGCATGAGAGTTGGATTTTGGGTGGTCTTTAGTGGGCACAGTCTACCCCAGGTCTTTTCTCTTGTTTTTCATTTCTGTCACCTCCACATGCTACGGGCTACATGTTTAGGGGAGAGTTTCCATATCATCATCACTCTAAGCCACCCAAACTTGGTTAATACTCCCTTCAATCCATTTTGTTATTCCTTTCTATTTTGGGGTGTCCCAATTTGAAAATTCAAAGGAAAAAGTGTTTCGTTTTCCGAAACTATCTCTAATAAAGTGTCTATAACTATGTTAAAAGTTAAAAAGTTGAAAACAAAAGGGCATTCTTGGAATAAATGTTTTAAAATTTGAATTCAAATGTAATAATCTCGTCTCCCTTAAAAGAGTTAGAACTCCCAAAAGGGACTAACAAAATGGGATGCTTTAACATGGAGTGATATTTACAACCATGATGCCAATGACTAAAAATAATTACACCTTATTTACCTAGATATATTGAATTTGTGTGTGCCATCATTGTCATCATGCAACTCAATATCTGTATATGTTGAAGATATAATATAAATAATAAAGTTGTCCCTTTGTCTAATGGCTTGAACTTCTTGATGAGTTTGTAATTATGAATTCCAGTCTATAGAAAATGAGGGAAGGCATTGTGATATTGTGAGATTTCTTTGAAGGGAATAATATTCTGAAGCTTGGGCTGGTTACTCAAATTGACTGGTCATTGGTGTGTTTCAAATTTTTGAAAGGACTGCAATTGTATCACACATGCATGCTGCAGTCTATTTTTCTGATATTGTTGAAATGCTTCAAAAACAATTACCCCACATTGATTACTTTGCTAGTGTAATTTTAAATTTTCATTAAATATGGTTTATCAGTCTCTTTGATGATTTATCTCGTTTTCATCATCATTAGGTTTACAGGAGGTACAAGTATTACTACCAACAGATGCAGACAGTTGTAGCATCATTTGAATCTGTTGCTGGGCTCAGCAATGCTGCTCCATATGCAAACTTGGCCCTAAAAGCAATGTCAAAACACTTCAGAAGCTTGAAGAATGCAATCACTGACCAGCTGCGATTCACAGGGAAAGCTCAAAACTACCGGAAAGATGAAACTCTGAGCTTTGGAAACTCTGAAATTCTTTATAGCCATAGACCAGTTCACAACTCTGGATTTCTTGAACATCAACCTGTTTGGCGACCCCAACGAGGACTTCCTGAGCGTGCCGTAACTGTGCTGAGGGCATGGTTGTTTGAACACTTCTTGCATCCGTAAGTATTTATGTTTTCTTAATTATGCAATGGTAAAAATATTACAAAAATAAAATTTTCTACACAACATTCAGAATGATGTTGCAGTGAATTTGAAAATCATCCACTCAAGTTATGGGTGTTTTGTTTAAATTGATAGGACCACAGTGAATTATATCATTCTATATGGAAATTCTGTTTCTATAAAAATGCTGGGATGTTAACTTGTCTACTTTCCAGAATTAATACTCAGATTTTCTTTTAATAATTTCTTCATTCACAAATGCTCGTCTATACAACTTAAATTAAAAAAAATAAAAAATTCTGTATGTATAAATACACTAACTATATTCACTGTTCAATGTTTCAGTTATCCTACTGATACAGACAAGCTAATGTTAGCTAAACAGACTGGTCTTTCACGAAGCCAGGTGCGCTACTTTTTGTTAGCTCTAGTAGCCTCTACTTCACACACACACTACACAAATGTGTGCACACATATACAGGCACTCAGAGAGCTCTCTTTAAGGTGCTCAATGTCGGATCAAATTTTTGACTGGTATTTAAACACGTCCACGGCTATATAAAATTGAGGTGATCAAGGTTGACAATGCTAACCAGGTTTCCAATTGGTTCATCAACGCAAGGGTGAGACTTTGGAAGCCTATGGTGGAAGAAATACACATGCTCGAAACACGGCAAGGTCAAAAAACTTTGCAAAGGGAGGAACAACAAAATACTGATGGGCCAAATGATCACTTGCCTACAGCCACCTCACTTGCTTCTGAAAATCCATCCACATCCACCAAGCGGGCCCAAGACCTTCCGTCTAAACGCACTAGAAATGAATTTCCCGATATATACATGGGGACTGAAGAGCCAGTGAATTTATCGTATGAAAATTTGTCACGTCATCAACAAATGGGCGTTGGTGTAAACACTGCAAGTGGAAGTGGGGGTGTTTCTTTAACACTAGGACTGCATCAGAATAATGGTATTGGTTTATCGGAGCCCTTTCCAGTTAACGCAGCTCGTCGTTTCGGTCTTGAAGCGAACACTGAGGGGTATGTAATGGGTAGTTTTGAAGCACAGAATCGGCAATTTGGAAGAGATATGATTGGTGGGCAACTTTTGCATGATTTTGTTGGCTGAATGATATATTTTGGGAAAGATCTCTATTGGATGTGTGCTTTTTATCGACTGCCCAAACCAAGCTACACAAGTAAATGCTTTGTTGCACTGTGGTGGCATAATATATATGTCCCCCATGGACGCAATTGTAAAAATACAAATCCATGTGATATCATCCCCCCTAGATGTGTATACAAGTGAAATTATTGTTGTAAGGAAAATGCAGGTGAGCTTTATTTATCTTTGGTAAATGATATACCTTGGTGGATATGGAGCGACCATTCAATTTATGAATGAAAATTATTCCAGCAGCATGCCTTCCATTGTAAATTTGATACTCCTGTAATATCTATTTCACCTTTGGTTTTGAACTTCTCAGACCAGGTAACTCATTCTTCGATGAATTGCCGAGCTTACCCACTAGCCTTTATTTTTGAAATTTTATTTTTGGAATAAATTTTTTTTGGAGTGTGAAGAATTTATATAGGTTTCACATAATTTTTGTACTGTTAGTAGCTTTGTACTGCAAAACCAGACAGGCAGGGATGGGATTGCATGTATATATATGTATATATAGAGAGATGCAAAACCAGACACAGGTAGAGATGGGATTGCATGTATATATATATATATATATAGAGAGAGAGAGAGAGAGAGAGAGAGAGGTGGCAGACCAGGAAAAAGAAAGTCTTGAAAATCATGTAAATGTGTGCAATTTCTGTATAAAATATGTGCATGGCGGGTAGTGTGTCATATTATTCCTCTTAGCTTTGCTTTTACCATATTGATGCTTTTTATTTTGTTTGGAATAATCATTTTCGGCTCGCTATTGGCATAAAAGGGGTCACCTGTCCCAAGTACAAAGGCATACCTTATATTATCTTATTAAAAAGAATTGAGGGGATCTTGATTCTTGAATGCAATTGGGGCTTTACTGCTACTACTCTTTCACTTTGTGTGTTTCCATTGTTTACAAATTAAGAAGTTAGTTCTTCAGGATTAAAAAATAGTTAAAATTGTATAGTGGGAGATCTATTTCCTTTTGCATTTGCTATTTGCTTTTAGAGTTTCTTTTCTATGATTGTGACCTAGCACTTGAGCATCTTTACTGTGTTGTTCACTTGTACCCTGCCAACTCAGGAATTGTTCAAAACAGAATTGTAAAATTCAAGTCATGTGATTTTTGAACTTTAATATAAAATGCATGTGAGATTATTGTCTTGCTAAAATGATGGGTGTGTTTGGATTTTGGTTTTGAGTAGAAAAATTGTGAAGAAAAAGAAAAACGGGTCACTTCTGTTATTACGTTTCTTTATTTTTACGAAGTTCTATTTAAAAATTTGAAATCCGCATACAACTTTTAATAGATGATTAAAATGTTGGTGCGCAATTCCAGGTCCATCATGACCACAATGTGGTCTCTGTTTGGTGTGGTTTTTAAAATCAGTTTTTTCAAAATTTTTGAAGATAACATAAACTAATTTGATAAAGAAAACATTAAACTAAAAAAATTCATATGAAAAGTATTTTTATATTTTTCCATAAAATTAATTTATAGTTTTTTTTAATAAAAATAAATGTGAAAATCAAATCAAAGAGACCTCAGACCGGAACAACAATTCTATCATTACCCATGCTGGAGTGGGTTGGAAACCCTAAGAAATCTTGGACCAGATTGGGCAAGAATGACCAACCATTCCGGGAACGAGTAATGTTACGTATCATGAAATAAATATCATAAAAAGTATCATAAAACTAATTTAAGAGTGATTGCATAACATACAATAAAATACTACAATCATTATAAATTAATTTAAAGGTAAAATAATATTTATAAAGACTTTTTATGATACTTCTTTCACGATACCTAACATTATTATTCCGAATCCGGATCTTCTGTCGCATTCCCCTATCGCCTTCCCCTGTCGCCCCCAAAACGACGTCGTTTTGGGGGCGAATAAAAATAAATGTGAAAATCAAATCAAAGAGACCTGAGACCGAAACAACAATTCTATCATTACCCATGCTGTAGTGGGTTGGAAACCCTAAGAAATCTTGGACCAGATGGGGGCAAGAATGACCGATCATTCCGGCATCGAATAATGTTACGCATCATGAAATAAATATTATGAAAAATATTATGAAATTAATTTAAGAGTGATTATATAACATACAATAAAATATTACAATCACTATAAATTAATTCAAAAGTAAAAAATCTTTATGAAGACTTTTTATAATATTTCTTTCATGATACTTAGCATTATTGTTTCAGCATCATGACGTGGGCTAGCAGTGATGGACTTTACCATGCAGATTCCCTATTGGTTGGGTAACCCAAGGAACGAGGGATTGTTTTGTTCTCATATCTTGCGCCCTGGTGGTCTCAAAGTTTTTTTTAGGGTGAATAACGGATATTTTAATTCGTCCAAATTAATCGGATTGAATTGATTCGTTGTATTTTAGACGGATATATAATGATGAACGGATAATTACGGATTGATTTTTTTTCAATCCACCTAGTTTTGGACAGAGGACGAATTTGAGATTTCTTTGACCGCAATTGAATTGCTAAACCACGAGCACCCCTAGTAATTTGTAAGACTTGGTATTTTTAATTTGTTTAGATATTCTGTTTGTATTTTCAATTGAAAAAGAGTTTAGATATTCTATTGTGTTTTCAATTTATTTTCAATTTAGAAATTCTTTTATCAAATGACAAGTGTTGATATTTGGTATTTTTGTGTAAAAAATATAAGGTTTGATTTTGTTATTTTTTTTAAAAAATCAAATTAAATAGTTTTTGAATATTTAAAAGAAATGAATTAATTTTGATAATGCATGGTTTTTTATATGTATTTATTATTGGTATTTGACAATTTACTTGATAATTATTTGGTTATATTGAGTTGGATTAATATAAAAAAAAATGTTGACAAATTGTTGTATTATGTTCAAAATTTGTAAAAATTTAAACCGCAAAATTGATTTGCATCCATCCGCCAATCTACATTTGTCAATTTGATGGATGGATGCGAATTATTTTTTTCAATTCGCCAATCTGCGGACGGATGGCAGATTGAAAGTTTTCCGACCGTAACTGAACCGCAAACACTCTTATATCTTTTTAGTCATCTCATTATGTTTTGAAATTTTAATATCTCAACATTTTTATTTAATCTAATAGTAGAGAGCATATGGGGAGAGGGGATAGAGGAGTTTGGGATATTTGAAGTTTAATAGATAACTTAGGCTTCGTTTGGTAAGTGACTTTTTTAGTTAAAAAGTCATTAAAAAAATCAAAAAGCCAACAACTCATACCAAAAGGTCAAAAATTTTCTTTTCTCTCTACTTTTTGCACATCTTTTCGTAAAAGTCAAAAAGTTATCCAAAACATACTAGTTTTTTTAGCTCATATTTTAGTTAAATAACTAAAAAGTTACTATTAGCCTGTTCCCAAACGAGGCCTTAGGCCTCTTTTGGTAAGTGGTTTTTTTAGCCAAAAAGTCACTAAAAAAATCAAAAAGCCAACAACCCATACCAAAAAGTCAAAGATTCTCTTTTATCTCTACTTTTTACACATCTTTTCGTAAAAAGCTAAAAAGTCATCCCAAACATACTAGTTTTTTTTAGCTTATATTTTAACAAAATAGTCAAAAAGTTACTAAATTAGTCTGTTCCCACACGAGGCCTTAGGAAAGGGTGTGTGATTTCGAAGTTGGGCAAGTTCTTAGGCCCCGTTTGATTTGAGGTGTAGAGGGTGGGATGAGATTAGGATAGAGGTAGGGCTTATTTAGTGTTGTGTTTGTTTGTAGAGTTGGAGAAGGGATTAGGTTGGAGGAAGGGATTAAAATGGAGGTTGGAAGGGGGATTGAGATGGAGGAGGTGGAGGTGGTATTAGAAAAATAGTGAAGGGATTATAAATTTTTTTATTTTTTACATGCTGTGTATTTTTTTTTAACATTAATGTTTAATTTTTTTGTATTTTTTATTATTTTATGTAAAAATAATTTTTATACTAACAACTATCATCAAAACAAACACAATTTTATTTAATTCTCTCACTAACAATCCTCTCACTATAAATCTCTTCCATCCAACTTCTCAAAATAAATGGGGTCTTAGCTCATTCCGTGCAATCGAAGTCTCCTATGTTCGTAGAGAGGAGAATTTGATTGCTCATTGTCTAGCAAGATTGGATGTCTATAATGCTAGTATGCGGATTTGGATGTAGGAGATTCGACTCTATGTCTTGTTTTATCTCTTCTGATCTATTGTTTCGTAAGCTATTTTACTTTTGACATTTTCTCATTTAAAAAAATATATATTTAGGCTTCGTTCGAGAACAAGTTAAGTTAGTAATTTTTTAATTATTTGGTTAAAATATGAGTTAAAAAAAATTAATATGCCTGTGTTTGGCAAGTGGATTTCCAGGCTTTTTTTGACTATTTTAGCCACAAAAAACAAAATAGGCTATTTTAGCCATAACAAACAAAACATCACATTCTCTCATAAAAAAACTCAAAAAAGTCAAAAAGTCAAACAGCCCTTCCCAAACCAAGCTTTTAAGCCCAGGCTAAAATAGTCAAAAAAATCAAAAAGTCAAAAAGTCAACCCACTTCCCAAACGGAGGCTATGTTTAGGATGACTTTTTGATTTTTTATGAAAAGATGTGCAAAAAATAGAGAGAAAAGAGAATCTTTGACTTTTTAATATAAATTATTAATTTTTTGACTAATTTAATAACTTTTTAACTAAAATAAAAAGTTTCCAAACGAGACCTTAATAGGAAGTCACTTGTTTTGATTCTTGTCACAAACACACTCATAAAATTGATTTCGGTGAATTTACCATAAAAGATGTAAAAATTGGATTGCAGGTTGAAATTTATTCTTGTAGAATACCTCATCAATGCAATTGAATTTACAAGTGGTATATGGTCCAAAGCCTGGTCCACCAGATTTCGGCATCAAAATGTAAAGGGAAACGTTTGGGAGTTTTAAATTATGGGGTTTAAAAGTGTTTTAAGGAATGAATTTTATTTATTGATGTGATATTGTAGTCTTATATTTTTTGTTCTTTTTAAAATTTTTATCTCATTAATATTTAATTAAAATTTTAAAACTAGAGGTACAAGCATTGTTAAATCCAAAACGTGACTCGCATTTGTCACAATTTTTTCTTTTTTGTTTTGGACAATTTTCACAGTCATCATTCAAAAACTCAAAAAACTTCGGTGTCTCGGACAAAGACAAGGGGGATATTCTCTAAATGTTCCAAAAAAATTCGATCTTTTTCAACTGACAATGATTTCCCAACTCCGTTATTTTCATCCTAGGGTTTAGCCACCATGATTCCGTGTTCTAGGGTTTCAATTCTCGCGGAGGAGAGAGAGAGTGAGCGAGCTGCTGCTGCTTTGGAAATGGAAGCCCGAGTGAGCGTGTGTGGCCGCGGAGCGCTGGTTGACGGCGGCACCAGGAAGTTCTTGCAACCGCTCCACCACCAGCAACAGCAAACGCCGCCGTCGTTGAATCGGCAGACACAGATTGGGACGGTGCCGCAGCTCCTCGCCGGCGGCTTCGCCGGCGCTTTTAGCAAGACCTGTACCGCTCCCCTTGCTCGCCTCACCATTCTTTTTCAGGTTTTTCTTTACGTTCTCTTTTGTTTTCCCATGTTTTCACTGGTTATACTCAAAATGAATCATGATGTTGGGCATGGATAAATGAACTTGTGGAATTTTAAAATCTGAAATCCAATTGCTTAAATAAAAAAATAAAAAAAAAATTCAAATTGAGACTAGAAGCTCAAATTGGCTTCCCAATTATATCTTCTTCTTCTTCTTCTTCTTCTTCTTAATTGTAGAAATTGTAAAGAGTAAAGCACAAAATTAGATAAGCTATTTGGACTTTTGTGGTGTTTGGTCGTAAGATTTGGGTAGAGATTTGGAAAAGAAAAGTATAGGTGATTTGAAAAAGAAAAGTATAAGTAAGATTTGGGTAGAGATTTGAAAAAGAAAAAGTTGCGTGAGATTAGGTGAAATAAAAGTATATTTTATTCATATTTCATCTGCTATTTTTTTTTCTTTCTCCTTTTGCTTTCCAAATTTCCCAACCATTTTTTTTTTCTTTCTCCTTTTGCTTTCCAAATTTCCCAACCAAACACAACCGTCGTTGAAAAAGTTAGTGTTTTATCCAAAAAAAGCCACTAATCAAAAATATCACATAAAACCCAATTCCCAGACGAATCCTTAGAATGCCCATGTTCATGTAGGATATGTACAAGTAGAATTTGTTTAACAAGATTAACACCAAATTGCATGATATTCTGTTCAGCGGTAGAGCTAGAGTTTGTTCGACAATATTATTCAGTGTTTGGTTTGAATTTTTTTAATTAAGTTTTTTGAAAACTCAATTTTTTGGTTTTCGTATTTTTTTGTTTTTAGTGAATATTTTTAAAATTTTAAATATTTTTTTTATCTTTTTAGATGCACTTTACTTAGATGTATTTAAAAAGTAAAAAATTTGTGAAAAAATATTTTAAAAATTTAATAAATACATAAAAATATAAAAAATGTACTGAATTTTCGTATTTTTTTTTTGTATTTTTGGTATTTAGTGAATTTTTTTAAAAAAAAATTCATAATTTTTTTACTTTTTAGGTGTATTTATGTTAGGTATGTCTAAAAAGTAAAAAAAAATTGTTTAAAATATTAAAAAAATTCAATAAAAACAAAAAAACACGAAAAACAAAAATATAGAATTTTCTGAAAAGTGTTAGAACTACATTTTTGGTTTTCCTGAATGTGTTAGAACTGCATTTTTGGTTTTCCTGAATCTGGATTTATTGAATTTATAGATTTTTGGTTGACCTTTTTCCTCCTCTTATTAGGTGCAAGGTATGCACTCTGATGCTGCAGCATTGAGCAAGCCTAGCATATTGCATGAAGCTTCGCGTATTGTTAACGAAGAAGGCTTTAGGGCATTTTGGAAAGGGAATCTAGTGACAATCACTCACCGTCTTCCTTATTCTTCAGTCAATTTCTATGCTTATGAGCGATACAAAAGTGTCAGTATAAACACTACGTGATATACTACCATTTTTGTGGTTATAATACAGTGTGATTTCAAATAAGCAGCTTGATTTTTATCGTTTGTGTTGTCACTTTTTTTCCTGCAGTTGTTGGAATCAATTCCCAGTCTACAAAGTCAAGGTGGTTTTGCGGGTGCAGATATTTTTGTGCACTTTGTTGGTGGTGGGTTAGCTGGAATGACAGCTGCCTCTGCCACTTATCCATTGGATCTTGTCAGGACTCGTCTTGCAGCTCAGGTAAAATAATTTGTGGTAAGAAAAATTATTTTCAGTCCAAGATATCTTGCTATTGTTCTCATTGATATGTCTTGTATTTGTGATAATATCCATATCTGTGCTTCTTAGGGTATCTGTTTGCATTTGCTTCACTTATATGTATTTTTCAGTCAACATCCTCTTTGTTCATAACTTTGATTGGCTGATAGGGTTAGGATTGGACAAATTCATGAGATGGTACGCGTAGTGTCTGTTCAAGATTAAATGAGAACCAATTAAGATGTTTTGGTCATGTACGGCGGAAGTGTGACATTATCTACGTTGTGGATAATGGTAGGGGACGAGGGAGACGAAAATTAACTTGGGTTGAGATTAGTCAGAAATGTAAGCCATCTTGCAGTTTAATTAAAAGGGTACGGCTCTTGATTGAGTGGAATGACAAAAAAGGATTGATGCAGCCAACTAAGTAGTTGGGAAAAGGCTTTGTTGAGTTGAATTTGTGTATCATAAATGTAAGACACCCATATTTAATTCACCTATACTAGTATAATAAGTGAAGCCTTAATTTGTCTCCTCATTTTAGTATTAAGATTACATATATAAAATGTGACTTTAGTGTAGATGGGGAGGAAACGCTAAGTTGCCCATAGAAGGTTCATGAAAACACATACTTACGTTCATGAAAACACATACTTACATTCATGCATATACACATACATGAGCCTATAGATACATAATGGTAAATAAATTAGGAGAGTATGGTTTCCTGAAATGACAGTACGGATTAAATAGTTGAGTTAATCAGAAAATGACAGGTAGTGTATTTCTTCTGATAGTTAAACCTTCTGGTCATTTAAGATTTCTATAACGAAGTGCCTTTTGGTTAAGCCTTATCCAGAAAGTCTATTATAATGTGTGTTCTTATTGGGTGGAGAACCATTCTCTATCTTACGCTACCAAGCTATTGTTTCTGAGGGCCAATGCTTGCTAAGACCTAAATGAAAGTTCTTTCCTCTATTATCTTTGTGTTTTTTTCCCTTAGTTGATTTAATTTGATTTCAATTTTGTTTGGCCACCTCATTCATTTTACTTTTTCAGTTTGAACTTGTTTCTTGGCTCATTTAGCGTAAACTATGCAGAGGAGCACAATATATTATCAGGGCATTTGGCATGCAATTCATACCATTTGCAGAGATGAAAGTTTTTTTGGCCTGTACAAAGGACTTGGAGCAACATTGCTGGTGAGCTTTATACTGTGTTTCTGTTCATTCTTTCCTCCCCTATATCTTTAACTCTTGTTCACCATTGAGATGATTTGAAAAATGCAGAGTGTTGGACCCAGTATAGCAATAAGCTTCTCTGTTTATGAGACACTGAGATCTTATTGGCACTCTCAAAGGTAAGACTTGTTAGTTCTTTCTATCAAATGAGGCATTTCACATGCAAATCTGTGTGTTGGCTCCTTGGTGTTCTGGTGTATGATTTCTGACATTTTTAGCATCTTGATATTAGGCCCGGTGATTCTACTGTCATGGTTAGCCTTGCTTGTGGCAGTCTTTCTGGGATTGCATCATCAACAGGTGTGTGATCTGCAACCTGCAATGCTCCTTGAAATTTATACCTCCTTCATAAGATACATATTTTGCTGAACATAGTTTTAACATCAGAATCATGCTTAGCAAAGAAATGTTCTACTGATTTATAATCTTCTTATTTTCTATTGCCTTGACCCTTTGCTTCTCATTTTGTGCTTGCCTTATCACAAATGACTGATGTGTGCTTCCAACATAAAAGAATTTCCAACTGATTGCAATGCATTGCATTTGAGGTTTAGTTTGAGGCGCTAAATTTGCATTACATTTCTTACCTAGGGCAGCAAACGAACCGAGCCGAGCTTTGCTGAGCTCGAGCTCGGCACGTTTACTTATTGAGCTCGTTTATTGAACTCGAGCTCAATAAGGAACTAGGCTCGAGCTCGGCTCAGCTCGGTTCATTAATATTAATGAAACTCGAGCTTGGCTCGATAAATTTTTTTAAAATATTATTTAAATTATTTAATATATATTTTAATATATAAATAATATATTTATTATATAATTTAAATAATGATAAATGAGCCGAGCTTATGCGAGCTCGAGCTCGGCTCATTTACTAAACGAACCGAGCCGAGTCGAGCTTGTTAATGAACAGCTTGGTTCATTTGCAGCCCTATTCTTACCTAGAGGTCAAGACACTGAGTTAAAAAGATCAATTTTCAGGAAACACCAGAAAGCTATTTTCTGTTCTCTGTTTTTAGTTTTCCAATTAAAAACCCTGAATTTTCAAAAATTTCTAGAATACATGTTTATAAGAATAGTTTTTTGAAAACAATGCCAACTAACTTCAGATAATTTAGTATGTCTTTAGCATCTCATCTTTTAGTATTATCTTTAATCTAAATACAACTCTTACAATCTTTTCCCAGCATTGCAACTAAAAATATGCATATTTAGCTGCTTCATTCCTTGTAAGAAGGCTGAAGATATAGGCTAAGGAAGTCTTCCTTCCTCATTGGCATGATTATAATTTGTTTATTTCTTCATTTTTTGAAATTTGATAAGAGGTTGTGACCTGGCACATTGGCAAGCACTATCTGCCCCCTGGCCCCAGCCTAATTTGGATCTCTTTTTAATTTTCTGTTGGTCCTTAATTCTTGCAGCAACATTCCCTTTGGATCTCGTCAGGCGAAGGATTCAGTTGGAAGGTGCTGCTGGCCAAGCCCGTGTCTATAATACGGGCCTATTTGGAACATTTAGGCATATACTCCACACAGAAGGGCCAAGGGGGTTATATAGAGGAATTCTGCCTGAATACTACAAAGTTGTTCCTGGCGTAGGAATTGTTTTCATGACCTACGAGACGCTGAAGAAGCTTCTTTTGCATGGGCCTTCAAATAGTTAGTTGTTCACCCAGTCTTCATATGTTAAAGGAAAAGATGAGGATCAGTTGGTTTAAGACACAGTAGGTAGAAAAAAGTTTTTCCCATATTTTTTATTTTATTTTTTTAAAAAAAAAGAAGAGAAAAGAAGAAGGTATTTGCTGAGAAGTCCCATGGTGGTAAATTTTGTGGTTGCTGCCATGAAACATAGTATTTTTATGTATAGGTTATTAGATGGTATTGTGAGAATCATATCAATTGTACCTATCTACTACCAATACATAATTGAAACATTTTCATTCATTGATGATTGTATAATCACAGGAGAATTTTTGTTGCAGAACATTTAATTCTTGCCCCCCATTCAGGTTCTGTTTGCTGATTGCCTGTGTGTATTTTTCTTAGGTTGTTGGAGATTGTATTAGTGGTCAAAGAGAAAAGATATCAAAGAGAAAAGATTATTTTTCTTTCATCAAGAGTGAGGATTCTAAGATATTAGTGAAGGATGATGAGATTAAGGAAAGATGGAAGAATTATTTTGAGAAACTGTTAAATGAGGAACATGGAAGTACGACAATAGGGGAAGAAATAATCAGTATTGCGGGATTAGGAACTTTCAAGTGGAGATTTCACTTAAGAAGATGAAATCAAATAAGGCTTTAGGACATGATGATATCCCTATTGAAGCTTGGAAGTGTTTGGGTAAAAAGGGAGTTGCTTGGTTGACTAGGTTGTTTAGTAAAATTTTGTTGACTAGGAACATGCCAGACGAGTGAAGGAAGAGTATTTTAGTGCCAATCTATAAGAATAAAGGTGACGTCTAGAATTGTAACAATTATAGAGGAATTAAGCTAATGTGTCACATAATGAAAGTGTGAGAGAGGGTGATGGAACGCCGATTGCGAGACATAACAGAGGTGTCAGAGAATCAATTTGGGTTTATGCCTGGTAGGTCAACAATGGAAGCGATCTATCTTTTGAGGAGAGTAATAGAAAAGTATAAAGAAAAGAAAAGAGACATTCATATGGTGTTTAGCGACTTTGAGAAAGCATATGACAGAGTGCCCCGAGATATAATATGGTGGGCGTTAGAGAAGAAAGGAGTGACAAAAGGCTACATTGACGTGATTAGGGACATGTATGAAGGGGTGGTGACTACTATTAGATCGGCAGCTGGAGAAACAAATGAATTTCCTATCACTGTAGGGTTACACCAAGTGAGAGGGAGATTTATGATCTAGTTTCGGCCAAACAAGATTGGGCCGAGGTATTTGGCTTCAAGATTGTGCCGTGGTTTTGCTCAGTAATGGCAAAGGGCCTGCGGAGCCGAGCTACTTGGGCTCTTTGGTATGAAGGCCGGTCAAGTGAGAGCTCGGCTGAGACGTCCGCGGCCTAGAAGGGCTTCACGGTTCGTGCGTTGCTCGGTCGGAAGGCGCGCACCCATAGCTCGGCATGAAGATTCGTGCCTATAATATATATAACCCATTTATATTGAATATATGGCTAAATTATACTTTAACCCCTTGTAGTTTACCCAAAAAACATGGAACTCTCTTATAGTTTCATTTGTAACACTTTAACCCCCTGGACTTCATACCAGACTGCAATTTTTGACGGACGTAATAGAAATTGTAAAAAATCTAAATTATCCTTATTTCTTTATCTAATTTTTTTCTTATGCCATTACAAATCAGAACATTCTCTCTCATTTTTCTTTAATTTTCCCGTATTATTTTCCTTTTCTTCTCTCATGTTTTTCTCATCTCATGACAAACCATACACTTCTTATACCATCATCAAATACATCTATCTCTCTCTAGAATTTAGACCCAAACAAACACTCATATCTTTCTCTCTAGAATTTAGACCCAATCAAATAATCCATTAATCCATAGCTGCCCCAAACACTCCTTCATCTCACCTGATAGATATTTGGAAGATGTTCTTGTATGCTCCAAACAGTCCAAGAGCATCGTCATGCATGATAGGATACAATCCTAATTAACTCAGCCAAGATGTTCTCATATGAATTGTCAAGAGAAAAACCAGTAGAAGAACTCCAAGTTCAAGCTTTCCTATGTCCATATTTTGAGTATCTAAATGATATTTTCTAGTTACGAAATTTGTGAAAAGGAAATATTTTCCCACTCTTCTTCCTTTGTCCTGTTCTCCTCTCTTCTTTTTTTCCATAGCTACACACAGCTGCACAGGACAAGCGACACACTCCTCTTCGCTCAATCTTCTTTTTCTGATTTCAGAAAGCATACCCAACACCTTGATGAAAACCTCCACTACTGCAAACACCTACCAAGCTCATCCAGTCTCTCTCCTCCACTCAACCAACACCCACCACCTTCCTTGCTCACGGCACCCATGGTGGTAGTCACTACTCCAATTTTGGTCTTGGCTTAGTTAATTCGTATGCCTATATACATAATGTATGTGTGTATATAGTGATAAGAGAATACGAAGGATGATAGTGGTTGCCACGGTAGATAGGGTGAGAGACTACCACGGGAGCCCATGGTTTATGGGTTAATTTCATTTGAGTTAAGAGAATGGTAGAAATAGATTTTAGAAGAATAATGAAACCAAAATGAAAAAGGAAAGATAGAGAAATGAGGGAGATAAGTTGGAGAGAGAGAGGGAAGCATTTTAGATAGCAAAAATGATTGAAAACTTTAATAAAGGAGCTCTAATAGGATAGGTCCAACTGTGATGTGATATTTTGACCTTATTTTTTGTTTTGTTTTTTCACGTCACTAGAACTGGGTTTAGAGCACCAGCTCTACAGCTCTTAATCACTGCTCTTTTAGAGAGAGAATCAAAGTCTCTGGTTTTTAAAAAAAACTGAAAAGAAGAAGATAATAAGGAATTATCTAGTGTGGTTGAGTGGGAGGAAATTTTGATTTTATGGTCGTGCAACACACTCTCTATTGAAACAAACATTCCTTCTGAAATTATAATATGGTATGAAGTCCAAGGAATTTAAGTGTTATAAATAAAATTATAGGGGAACCCCATATTTTTTTGATGGAAAATGCAATAAGTCCCAAATTTTCTACCGAACAAATAACCAAATGTCTCATATGGGTGTGAAAACCATATCCATGTGAGACATTTAGTCATTTATTTGATAGAAAATTTAGTATCCATTTTTTGATAAAAACCACAAGAAATCAAACTATTATTTACCCTAAATATATTATATTCCATTAGATATTTAAATATTACATATCCTTCTCAACTTCTCAGATTCATATTGGGACAACCAAATAAAACCTTTGAAGTCCTTGTTTCACACACCAACATTACTGACTACCAACATTATTAATTAACTGAATTCAACTTTCCAAGATTTCCTGAACTATTGCTTGGATCTTGTGGAATTTCACTTATCAATTAAACAAATTAGAAACAGTGAAGTGTTGCAAACTTGATCAATATTATTATAAATTTTGTTAATGTGTACTCTTAAAATATATATTTAAAAAAAATTATATATCTTATATGAAAGTGTGTAGAATAAAAAATGTACAATTTTTTAAAACATGCTGAACTTATATCCTAAAGACAGTCTTTGGATACAAGCAACTTTAGAGCCCATAAAATTGGGGAATAAATATTGAAATGTTACCAGGAACATTGGATCTTGGGATTCACCTTCTTCTGTCCAAATATTTGATTTGAAGTCATTTTTCTAATGCAAGTTGCCAAAGATGCCATTTCAAAGGGTGGTCAAACACAAGCTAATACACCTTAGATTACAATATAATTAAAATTAAAGAAAAAAAAAGGGGTTCCATTTTGATTCCACGGCTACTTAAGAAACAAGCATATAAGCAATGGCAAAAGGGGTGGTGGGTTGTGATTTTGACACATGGTAGACGGTTCTACCACTGGTCTGGTGGTGAAAGTTGGAGTTATCAGTCGTTGCATTGTAGTATACACGTAGTGATGGGGTGAATTTAAAATTGTTAGAATAATTCTTATGTTTTCAGTTGTAAGATGTCATAATTGCACCACATATATTATTAAATTACATAAAAAAATATAAATTAGATATAACGTAAATTGTTCGTGTTAAACTAAACCAAATTATATAGGCGGTGTTTGGAAAGGAGGTTTTTTGATTTTTCTTTTGTTTTTTTTTACTAAAAGACAAATTGGTTACAAAATCAAAAACAATAAATTCAAACAAAATATCACATCAAATCCTATAATTATTTCACTTTTTCTTTCACAAACATCACATCCAACCACAAAAAAACCCAACTATCTTTCCAAACATAATTTTTTTTTTCTCCAATAATATTGTACAACTAAAAAAACTTACAAAAAAATTCACTTCTCAAACACCCACATAATGAGAGCTAAAAGCACTTACAGACAAGTAGAAAACTTACAAACAGATTGTAAAAATTTGGAAACGAAAAACAACTTGATCGAGGCTTGTGTTAGACACAATTTCCTTAAGACAAATTCGTCCCTCGCTACGGTGCTCACAAGTTTTTATTGGACGTTCGTCTCCCAGTATACAACGATCGAACCTTGCAGAAGCAGTACTACTACGACAAGTCTGGCGAATCTTACTGTGCAGAATTCTCTTACAGAAAAGACAGAGTGCATAAGTAAAGAAACACAAGATGAATTACATTCAAAATGAATGCAATGAGTGGGTTTGTTTATATAGGTGAATTGGTGACTCTTTGAATGGTTATGGTGACTTTTCAAAAGAGTCATCTCTTTTCAATGAAAAGGTGCAACTAAAAAAACATATTGTAATTGTTTTTTCAAAAGAATTCAAATTCTGAATCGAATTTGGTTTAATTTGACCCAAATAAATAACAAATTAATTTAATTTAAAATTAAATATATTTCATATTAAAACTATACTCAAATGGTGCACTTTGGAGCAATTTCTCGTTCACCTATTAATGGTTTCCAAACCATTTTGCCAACAATCCTCCACATGAATGAAATGACAGAAAAGAATGCAAGACTCAATGCAGACTCAAAGAGAATTCAATTGGAAATATTCTGAATAGGGATAGGTAGCTTTTGACTTTGAACCTTCCTTAGTGAAAGATTATCGGACTTACTAGCTAATCAGTGGACATGATGCATTGAACTGTTCAGCCGTTTGTGTAAGCCAAGACTATAGAATTCACACAGAATATCTCCAGACGCAACTTAGTTCTCACGGTTGTGCTTGTTTTCGCCTTGGCTATGTCCTGGTGTGGGGATATATTTTCTGAGTTCCAATATGTGGCCAAGGTGACGCCGACGTGTCAGCGGAGGTGCCACGTGTCCAGGTTATGACGCCGAGGTGATCTCGGCTAGGCCAAGG